AAGACCACGTCTGCTGTCCTTGCAGAATTCTGTGAATGAGGCCAGCCAATTCCATAATAAAAGGCTTCTCTAGATCCTAGAGAAAAACACAGCCTAGCTCGCTTACTGAATTAGAGTTAAGCAGGAAACCCGTGCACCATCTAGTGGCCTGCACACATGGTCGGTCACTGGTTGACTTAAAATGGTGAATTGTGAAGTTGGCAAGACAGGAAAATAAAGGGAATTTGCCTCCTTGCAGGGAAAGCAAAAGAAAGGTTTCCTGATTTGCAACATAGCATACTGAGATCTTTACAGAGCAGTAAAATAGATCGACAGAGTGTGATGTTATGTCCATTGTTGGGAACATGCAGCCTTGAAGAATGCTTTAGATCAGTGGTTCTTAACCTTTTTGAAAGAAACGCCCCCTTGAGCCATTGAGGAAGTTATCATTGCCCCCCTCCCCGTGGTGATATTTATTTATTTATTTACTACACTTAAATTCAATGACCCCTGAAAATAAAATTCAATTGCAAGAAAATGAAATGTCCGAGAAAAACAGTAACATTTAATGATTTAGTTACAAGTGAATTTTAAAATGCAAAAAAATATAGAAAGGGCATAAAAAAACCGCAATGCAGGGACTAAAAATTTCAAGATGAAAACTTGGAAATTAAATTAAGATTCGAGGAAAATATATATTCATGCACAGTATAAAAAGGGTTAAAAAGACACAAAGAAAAATTTTACAGAAGGAAAGCAACTAAAATCAGAGCAACAAAAAATATATATCTACACAAAAAGTTTACACGACGAGCACAACAAAAAATTGAAACCATAAAACCAAGAAACCAAAAATATAATATTGAACTGGAGTGCACATTTAAAAAGTACAATACAAAGAGACACAAAATGTTTTACAGAGCACAACAAGAATTCAAAAATGAAGCAAACATCGTCATACTATATAAGAACAAAGGAGACAGGGGCGACTGCAATAACTACCATGGTATCTCTCTTCTCAGCGTTGTAGAGAAGCTGCTTGCCCATCTTGTGCTGAAGAGACTCCAGGTCCTTGCAGACAGTCTATCCAGAATCACAGTGTGGATTTTGAGCTAATAGATCCACCACTGACATAGTATTCTCCCTCAGACAGTTGCAGGAGAAATGTAGGGAACAACAACAGCAACTCTTTGTGGCCTTCATAGATCTCACAAAGGCCTTTGATTTGGTTAGCAGGGATGGCCTTTTTAAAATACTTCCCAAGATTGGATGTCCACCTCAGCTCCTTAACATCATCAGGTCCTTTCGTGAGGGAATGAAGGGCACCATAGTTTTTGATGGCTCAACATCAGATCCCTTTGACAGAGAATTAATACAGCAAAATCGCCCCAGAGGGAGACCCCAGCTGCGATACAAGGATATCTGCAAGTGGGATCTGAAGGCCTTAGGAATGGACCTCAACAGATGGGAAACC